AAGATAAATAAAATCAACGGTAAATAACGGTGTAAAAACCACTGATCTAACTCCCCCAAACTTAAATCATCGCTTGATCTCAAGCGAAAAATACAAGAGTTCATAAAATTCACAGCACAACGGTACTCATACGTGAGACGTTCGTTCACATTGATCAAGAGATAGTTCGTCTGGTGTTTGCATGACGCTAAGAGTTTTTATAAGAACTTTTTAAACCTGAGTTTCCTCTTTGGATACCTCGCTAACTATGCTTTATACTTAAGTATTTTTCTTATTTTCCTCCTTTTTCATTCGGACAATCAAGTTAAGGCAACGAGAATTATGATGATCATCATATACACAAGACTAATAAAAAAATTTGTTTAGGCACCAAATAAGCAGCTATTGCCACTTTTAATTACTACCGATGAAATTTTCAAAACTTTGAAGTTTATATATTATCCTTATTTGGACGAAGTTTGGGGATCAACCCCCTTTGGGTTGAATAATCGGGTGAGGGCTACCCAACTTAGCGGGTCGATTGCCTTTTACCGCCTTTTCATCATTTGGTGCCAAAATTATTTATTTCTCAATCAATCATACATGCATGTGAATCTAGATTATGCAGACTATCAAGATAAACAACTCCAGGAGTACTTATCAGGATACAAGCACTATGGTATAAATATACACGTTAGACTCGTATCACTATCACATTATTCTGAACTTCCTACCCTCAAACAATCATCACTTTATCTCTCTATACTATTCCCGATATCTTTGACATTCAAGCTCTTGTGCAAAACAAAAATTCCAAAAAATTTCGGTCAAAACTTGGGAAGGACTTCAATGTGTGGTTTTACAAAACAAATAGCATAAAACAAACAAATAAATCACAAAATAGGAAACAGAAAACCAATTTTTGGTACGTGGGAATTTTATCTAGAGCTTCAAAGAAAGGCATGTTGATCTCTAACTTCTTGAACAATGTGACGAATTGCTCAAATTCTTTCTCTTTTGGATCCTTCTTTGTTACTCGGGAGGGATATGGCCACTTAATCACCAGTTTAGCCTCCTTTTTAATTTTTTCTTCAGTTGGCTTCACACGTGGTATAACTTATTCCATCTTTTTCTTGTTTTCTCTCACTTCCAGATCTACCTCTATGACATAGTCATCATCTAATACATTCTCTTCTTCACCTCCTGACCCCTTCTGACTTCTTGTTGTGATAAATTAACATTCTCATGACTTTTCTGATTGCCCTGTGCTTGCAGAGACAATTGTTGTGTTATTTGTCCCACTTGAACTTCCAAATTTTTTATGGAAGTTGTGGTGTTCTCGTGGTTGCTCCTTGTTTCTTCCTAGAATTGAGAAGTGTGGGCATACATATTTTTAATAGCTACCTCCCAATCTGCCTTCTGTGGAGCTTGTTGCTGATTTTGGACATTTCCTTGCTAATCTTTCCAGGAAAAATTTGGTTGATTCTTCCACCCTGAATTGTAAGTATTTGAGTAAGGATGATTCTGCCTCAAAAATTTGATCTCTTTAACTTGTTGTGGAGTTGCAAGACAATGTACAGTCATGTGTGGTCTACTATAAATCTCACAAACTGTTTTTTGTGTTTGTTGGACCTGAGCTACCTGTTGAGTGCCTACTTTCAATGCCTTCAACTTTTTCTCTACTTTTGCAGCAATTGTTTCTTCAATTCTAAGTTGTTTGTTGGCCTCCAACTTCAAATCAATCACTACCTCTGGTTTTCTTGCAACCCTGTCATACAACTCCAAATGTTTGTTTGCAACAATTGCTTCAATTATCTTCTTAATACCAGTGGCTGTTGAAAAATTGGATGAGCCACCAGCTGTTGTATCAATAAGCTGCTTTGTCTTCATTTTGAGACCATTTACAAACATCTGCATTTGTTCAGTTTAATCCATATTGTGAGTGGGACAAGCTACCAACAACCTCTTGAACACTCAATTACCAGATCTTTAGTTTATTTTCCCCTAAGTCCTTAGTGAGAAAACCTTTGAACATTCATCCTAAATCTTAAGTCCTTAGAGAATTATGATGAAATCAAGCCTTGGTTTTATCAAGAATTAACCGGTAACATATAGGATATCCCTAGTCCTAGGTAATATCTACTATAGTCTAATCTTACAAAAACCTTAAAAACCATAGTCCAGCTTATTGTTAACCGTAAATCAATTCTTGTTGGTCTGACAAAGAAAGCAATGAAACCTTGTACAATTACATTGAATATGAAAAACAATTGTATTACTGAAATTAGGAATTCAAAGTCATTACAAAATCAAATCAGAGACACCTCTTAGTATTGGGAGTTTAGCTACTCATATTGTTCAAAAGAATTTCAGAATAAAAATAAGACATTACAAAGTGATGGTGAACTTTGATCTTCAATTGCTTCCGCTCATGAAAAGTCTTTGTTCTCCAACAATTGCATAGGCTTCAATCTTCAATCGTCAATTTCTTTCTCTGCTGGCAAAAATTCCCTCAACTCATTGTAAAAACTCTCTTAAATAATGAAAATCCATTGGTCTCGGTCGAAAATTCCCAAAACGCCCATTCGGGTCACACTTAGTGAAAAATCACAAAAACAAGGAAAATTAACATCACTGGCCAACACGGCTGCCCATGTTGGCCCTCTGAGTTTTTATTTTCTTTTTTAGTTCCAGACATGCTGACACGGCCCATGTTAGGTGACATGGGCGACCATGTCATCCCCCTGACTTGGCCCTTCGTCCATGACACCCATCGTGATACGGTCCGTGTCAGGTGACACGGGTGGCCGTGTCAGACCTCCTGTAGATGGATTTTTTTACTTTCTCTGAAATTCTGAATTTTGCATATTTTCGCACCGATTTGCTCTAGTTTATTCCTCTGAGTCTACAAATAGTAAAACACACAACCAACGCATAAAATAAAGAAGAATGAAGTAAAACACTTAGAAATATAAAGAAAAGATAATTAAAATCAACAGTAAGTAACGGTGTAAAAACCACTGATCACTTTCTCAAGTCCATCAGGCGTGATATTGTTGTAGTAATTTCCATGGTTGTAAATAAATGCAATTTCAGGAGTGTCTACAAGATCCATCTTTATTTGATTGTATTTTGAGCAGGCGTCCATAAACTTAAGGTTTTATAACCGGGGACCAATCAATCATTCGACCAATATTGGGTAGCAGATATGGATCCTTAAAATAGACGACATTTAGGTCATTGAAGTCGACGCACATTTACCACTTGTTTGATGAGTTTTGGACCAAGACCATATTATCCAACCAAGATGGATACTTAACCTTAGTTACAAATCCAACACTCCTCAATTTTGAACCTCTTCATCAATAGTCGTTTGCTTCTCCTCGCCTACCTTACACTTCCTTCGAGATACTAGTTTCATAGTGGAATCAATGGTGAAGCAATGGAAAACTACCATGGTATCTATACCTGGCATGTCGGCGCGAGCCCAGGAGAATAAATAAACACTTATCTTCAACAGGGCGACCAACTCACCCTCTTCGGCTTTAGACAGAGAGCTTCCTAATTTAGCAAATTGGAAAACTAAGGGCCCAATATGTACCTCCTTTAGGTCCTTTGTGTGAGTAAGCCTCTCATTTTCTCCATTATGGGATCTAAACTAGTAGCATCTATTTCTTGCGCGCTTGGATGTGGAAAAGATGTTGCGGCCATCTCATATCTTCTCATTTCAAGACTATAAAATTCTCGAACAATCTCTTAGTTCCCTTGACGGGAAGTGTTAGATTCTCCACCACCGACGAACCTCCTGTGGTGGAGCTTATGACAACATTTGTGCCATGTTCCACCACCGTGTTAGCGAAGGTGACTGATGTGGTTGACGAAATGTAATGAGTGTGGTCCATGTTAGTTTTACCAAAATCTACGATGAACGCCAATTGTACTTTCTAAAAAACAGAACAATGAGGGTAGTCTTGTATTTGGAGGTTGCATGTGATGTTTATGGTTGTTGATGGTGTTTAGAGCTAATTTATGATGAGTGATGAGAAGTTTTGTATATATGGCGTTTAAGTGAAAATGATTTGATCCCTTCTCAACCCTCGGGATGAGATATTTATAGAGAGCACTTTGGTCGAAATCTTTAGATCTAAGGAACGATTATTCTCTCTCCTCCCTCAAAAATGTGGGATGTAAGGGAGCCATTTTGTCTTTATAATCATAGGGAACACACTTTCCCTCGATGAATAACTTTTTCTATTTCGTTAGTACGTGAAACACACGTCACTCTCCATGCTTTAATTGGAGGATGAGAGACAAGCATACATAAATACAATATGGGCGAGTTATTGCGAATAGTGGACATCCATGGGCGCAACTTCGGACAGCCGATGACGCTACCTTTGTGTTTGCCCGATGTTAGCTATTATCTTCTCCTACTACTAACAAAATCATGTCAATACACTCTTCTATTTTACACTCAAAGTACATTTTCATCATTATGCTTCTTTTAACTCTCATGTCTCCTTCATCCCTCTCTTAACTACTTAATGATTTAAGGTTGTCATTTAATTTGTGGTATATCTGAAGGTTTGACTATCAGCCTCTAGTTGCAATTTTGGTAGGGGATTTATGTTTATTTTTCTTCGTTGACGTTGTAATGGTTTTAATTTTTGCATGTTTTTAGGGGTAGGTTTTTTTTTTTGTCACACGGCTTGTCTACTTGGTATTTTTTCTATTTTCTATTTTATTTTTTTTAGTTTCTTGATGGTAATTTTTTCAGATAGTTGAGCACTCCTTGTTAATTATGCTTTCCCTTGTAAGTTGTAGTCATCTTTTTGATATTATATATATTTTTCCAATGAAAATAAATTGTTACACTTTATTACATGATTAAGAAAAATTTCTAGACCTACAAAATTACTCTTTATTACATGATTAAGAATAAAGTTTCACTATGGATAACAAATGCACAATTTTGTCACCAAGGATACACAAAGATATGAATGGTCTGAATCTTCTTATTACTACATTTCACTCATTTCTGAATCTTGTCCAGTCCATTGCTTCATTCTCTCTGATGCTTGTTCAACCTGAAAATTTTAGATATACAAATCATTTAATAAAACTCGAGTTTAAATCATAGTTGAAATAATCTTTAATCAGATTTTATTTATTTTTCGTCCGAACTCGAGATTATGATAGTCATTCTCTTAATAAAAAAAAAACAGTTAATCTCACCTCTTTGTTCCAATTTGTTCTATATATAATATACACCAAAATAACTGTCTGCAAAACTGTCCCTAATATCATTCCAACCCAAATACCCTGAAACAATACTTTTCATCAGTCAATGAATCTTGATAAGAGGGTAAAATAAAATTCAAACCACATCACTTTTTATTATTGAACTTAAATAACAATTTTATAATCATTCAATCATTTATCATAACATGGACGTCTTTGAAGGTGTGCAAGACAGATTATCGCATAGGTTCAAAATTTATCACGTTAAACTCGGGCTGAAATTAAACTGGGGCCTCTAGAAACTTAAGACGGCCCACTGTCACAAAATATGATTATGATATACATAGTCATTACCTTCACTCTATAGCCTGCTTTGTAGCCAAGCAAAAAGCCAAGGGGGAGTCCTACAATGTAATAACAAAATAGATTAATGTAAGCTACCAAAGCTTGCCATCCTCCTCCTACTGCAACACCTGCAAGAATACAAACACTTTCATGATTACCTTATCGCAAAAGAGACGTCTCAGAAATACTTATATTAGTAGATAGACTCGACTCGAATAAACCAATCCAGATAGGTCGATACCTGATAAAACTGGCTGAACACTATTTAGAATCATGGTTACACCAAGAAGAGAAGCTAATTTAGAAACTGCTTCTTGCATTTCTTTACTGTCAGTAAAAATAACAGCAAAGTGATCTTTTGTTATTAAAACAATGATTGCAGACACCAGGCCAATCATGAGAGCCTCAATAGCCGTGACAACAACTGAATATTTTGCAGCTCTTGGATGTCCTGATCCAAGCTCATTGGAAACTCTCACACTGATAAAAATAACCAAAAATTGCAAAATTTTCTTACACTAAAATGAAGAGAAAAAAATCATAAATCAAACATTTACCTCACAGCTGCATTGACCCCTATGAACAATATGCCTTCCCATCCATTTAAATTCATGCTGATAGAGCAAAAACATAATTTAATCAGAAATTTTAGAGTATAAAAGTGAACATTATAGAGTTTGTATGAAAGTATATGTACTATGCAAATTTCTATCAATTACCCCGAGACACAATACTATTACTGAATACTGATACATCGACATCAATAATCTTTTAGGAAAATGAAATAATTGAATATAATCAAAGATGTTACTATCAGACACTGACATATGTCGGACATCAATAATCTTTTTGAGAAAATGAAATAATTGAATATAACCTAATACGTTAGTGTTAGACAGTGACATGTGTCAGTCAACCGACATTCGGTGATACTACATTAGATAGAGTAGAGTAGCTTAGGTGTAACCTTACCAAATTGAAAGTGAGCCAACAGCAATGATAGGATTATCCAAATGACCGGTGAGAACAATCAATGTCATGAAATACCAAACCTCTAAACAAAGCATAATAGCTGAGGCAAAAGAGAGTTTCATAAATTCCCAAAGATCCTTAAAAGCCAACCAAGACAAACCCCTCCACCCTTCGTTACACCAACCAACAACGTAAGCCATTTGAGCCAAAGCAATTCCCCAAGCTGATAAATCATAAGCTGCTGCAGCACCAGTTGTACCCCAACCAAGTATCTTAATAAATAGAATCAAAATCAAAATGTGAATACAAAGGAATATGAAACCCAACCATGCCAATATTCCAACTTTGCTTTGTGCCTGCAAGAATTTCTGTGCAGGAAAATTGATTGCTAGTGAAAATAACTGAGGTATAGATTGGAGTGTGAATACTCCAGCTAACTCCGCTATATCACGTTCTTGTCCAAGGAGTATTAAAATCGGTGTTGCGAAAATGTAAAGTGGTAAGATCAGAAAACATGAACCGAACAAGATTAGAATCGAACGTTGCATGTAAATACCAAGCATTTCTACTTGTCCTGCACCGAATGCTTGTCCACATAGTGTCTCCAGTGCACTTGCCATGCCAAGCTGCAAATATATAACAACAATTAACAAGTTTAAATAAGAAAGAGACTCTTAACACACTCCCTCACACTAAGGACTAGACATCTGAAGCGTGAAAATAAATTGTGAGCGATCTGATAGCAGAAGCCTGATATGATAACACGTGGTCCAGCGGATTTTAAACCAGACTCTGATACCATGTTAATAATGTGTATAGATGTGCCATAAATAGGCACACGTTCAGGCCATATATCGTGACTCTTAACAAACAAAAAGATATAATAGAAACTAACCATGAAGCCAAAGGAGAAATTTGATACGACAGATAAAGAGATTGAAACTGAAGTGAGTTCTAAATTTCCAAGATGTCCAACAAAGATATTTGTGAAGGAATTGATTGCATAGTTGCATAATATTCCAAAACAAATAGGGCTAGCAATAGACCAAAGTTTGGATGATTCATTAATGGTTACATTTTTCAAATCTTCAAAGTTATTTATTCCACTATAGTCTCCAACATTGGTTTGAATGAGTCCTTCAGGAGCATGGTGGAGTTCTGTAGTTCCCAAAGTAGAGGATCCAAGTCCTTTAAATAATGGTGTTTCTCCTCTTGATGAGTTTCTATCAGGTGATGATCCAGCAGAGGAATAGCCATTGCTTCCCCCTACAAAGACTATTTCATTTTCTTTACCTATTTTTGCGATTTTTTATGAAACTTTTTGCATGGATAACGTAAAAGAAAAACTCGTGCAAAAGAAATGGAGAATGAAAAGAAGAAGACGAAAAAGAAAAAAAGGTGTTTTGTGAATGGTTTTCTTTAATGTGGATTTGTTTGTATGAATTAGTTTCAACCATTGTTTGTTTGGTGAGAGAAGAGATGGAGGATTTTTTATTTTTCTATAATGTAGGATAGCCTTATAAAGAGTGAAATGATTTAGGCCAATGAAAACTTATGACCAAGTCTCAAACTGTTATATGCTTGAGTGTTGAATATATTTTGTAAGAAATTATAACTATCAAACTTTAAAAAGAAATATTAAAAAAATTTGTACTAAAATTTAGAATTTAGAGGTTTATTAAAAGTTATAATGATGCTAATATTTCAAACTCCTATTAAAAGTTTTTTATATTTGGTAAGACCTTAGAATGTTTGGTGTGATCAAAATTAAGGAGGTGTTAGCGGGAGATTGTTGATCTACAGCTTTTAAAGATGGAGGATTGTATCTCCAAATACTTCGACGAAACCATTGAAGGTTGTAAGTGTGACATTTAAAGATAAAAATTGTATCTATATGAATCCAAACAATAAGTTAGGCTTCATAGTAAGTAGTTTAAGATTTCAAGCTTAGAACATTCTCTAGGATAATTGTTTATTTGGCTAAATATAAAGAAATCTTTTAAATTTCCTCATTTGATGGTCAATATGGGCCGTTCGGCCCTTATTCAATGTAAATGAAAATTGAGAATGAATAAATTAACTGCAACGCTTAAAATTACAAAATATTTCTTGTGATGGATCTTTATGAATGATCATGAGTTAGAGATTGATTATCTCTTGTAATGCAGAATTATTAATTGTTGAAAACGGGTTGATCATGAGTGTTGCACGAACGACAACACTTCTACTCATACCACACAAACAAAATTTGCAACAAGATAATATTTTGACTATCGTGTTAGATGTGAACGAACGAGAGTCTAAAAGAAAACACAAACTCAAAATCCTAGTGCTACTAGAATTTTGAGAATATGTAAATGAGCAATTATCACCTTACCATAAGAGTTTTATTTATAAAATCACTTATATGCACCGTAGTTTACGATGGATCGTGCTTTTCTAATTAGTGTTTGAGCATCATAAAAATGCATCACCGAATCATAAATAAATTTTATTCATTTATTTAATCTCCCACTTATTTATTTGTATGTCTCTAATCTTTTAGGTTCTCGTAACTTTGAAAATAATGTTATAAACTAAAAAGTACTATGTAGCAACACATCACGACTATCCAATTGATGAAAATGTCATGTGATATGACATGTTATTTTTTAGATATGGATAAGGTGTATAACCCTTGTATTTGTTAGGTGAGAATATGGACAAAAAGAGGTCTAGAAGGGGGATTGAATAGACATATCCCCAAAAAGACAAATTCAAAAATATTTTAGGCCTTATAAACAGAAATGAAACTTTAAGATACACAGAAGAAAAACACAACACTAAGAGAGTTTGGAAACATCTCAATGAATTAGACCAACTAAATTATTACAAGATATCACTAAGGAATTGATTCTTTCTAATGTAATCAATTACAAGATAACCAAAGCCACTTTAGACAACGCGATTTAAAAACACTTTACTTAGATACTCATTCAAGACATAATTGGACTTATAATAATCCGATAAGGTTGAAGCATCGAAGATCTAAGTTTACACATTAAATCTCTATAAGCACAGTTTAACCTAAATGACATACAAACAATGAAATTTTGTACTAACGCAATACCAATATTAATTAATGGTAGAAAATTAAAATAGATAAGAGAAGAGAGAATATATATATATATATATATATATATATATATATATATATATATATATATATATATATATATATATATATATATATATATATATATATATATATATATATATATATATATATATATATATATATATATATATATATATATATATATATATATATATATATATATTGATTCGGTGTTCATACTCGTTTTACTTTCTCCACTCTTCAAGGGTGTTAAAGAATCATCGAGAAATAATCACGAACTTTCACTATTTTGATAAGTTTGATACACACATTTGATTACAACAAAATATCACACGATAATTCCAACTGTTAATGCAGACACTCTAACTGCTAAAAAAAACAAGATCCCCAAAGGTCTTGATCCAATAACCTTGCTATCCATATAACCTGCTACAAGTATTCGTGTGTGGATATCCACTTGATGCCACTTTCTTATTTGAGTGGTTTCCATTAGCTAAGCATTGATTGGACAACTCCCAACTTTGTCTATGAACATTCTTTCCACAATTTTTACCAAAGTAGGACAACGTCCAACTCCGCCCGCTACTACAAAAAACACATCTAACATCGGACGCGAAATGTGTTTGATATCGGTAACGGAAACGAGGTAAATAAGATCGTCATAAAAGGTTACTCCTTATCACCTCGAATATTAAAATACCGAGGGGTTAAGTTAACTGCACGTGAGTTCAATTCCGATCATCAGCATTTTTATTATTTTCAGAATGAGATGGTGCGTCCCATATTAGCACTCGGTGTTTTAAAGAACCGAGGTAATATATCAATATTCTTACCTAAGTTTATTCTGAAAACTGATAGATTAAGATTTATTTTTTTTCTACTATCGTCTGCACCTGAATTACATAACCATATTATAGAATACATAACCATATTTTGCATATTTCTGAAATAGAGACATTGTACATTTTTCCAATTCCTCAATTTGAAACAGAAACATTCATTGATTACACCAAAATGACACAAACTTTATAATTTTACATCAAAACTAAAACAAATTATTAAGAAAAATAATAATAAACCATTTACTTACTAGTTTTCCCATATGTCATCTTCATGATCACGACGAATAGCATGCACATCATCTAAATCATTTTCTTCAGATGATTGACGTACACATGTTTCTAAACAAAGAGTCTCGTGGTTAAAATTTTGATTTTCATCAGTACTATCAGAAAGATGTTTTCCTTGAAGAACAATTGACCATCTAGTGTTAGATGGATCAGTGACATAAAAAATTGTTTTGCTTGGTTTGCAATGATGAATGGTTTGTTCTTGTAAGTTATTTTTCGAAGATCAACCCTTGTGAATCCTAATTCATCGGTTTCTACTCCAGTTTTACTGTCAATCCACATGCACTTAAATAAAGACACTTTAAAAGAAACATAGTCAATCTCCAAAATCTACTACATGATCCCAAAGTACGCTCTAGATGCTAGTACTGGATTGTTATCTTTGGAACTAGAAAAGTACATGGATTCAACCTCAACCATAACACCACTATTTTGCATGGTGCTACGACCATCCTTTGATTTTGGGTAGAACGAATATTTACTAATTCGTATGCACTCTATTTTACCCCAAAATTTCCCCTCTCATTTCTCAAGATATTTCCTACAAAGATCTTTAATGCCTCAAGTTTGCGCGAGTATCGACTAGGTCAAACAATCTCCTCAACACTGATGCCTCAAATTAGGGTTTGAGTTTGTACAAAGGCAGTCGGATTTCTAATGTTTCAAATGTCTTTCATGGATCATTATGGATCCTCAGGATTACTTCTATCAAGTTTCAAGTCTTGGATCACAATTTTCCAAGAAAGTCATTCAAATTATCAAAAGGGCAAAATTAGGGTTTTGACTGAAAATGATCGAACTTTGATTTTTGACCTAATACCTGACTTATTGGTTGTAAGCATGATCTCAAGGATCCGAGCGCATCATTTTGACCTAATCGCATATTTCAATTCATCTCCTGAGATCAGTGGATTGATAGACAAAATTCAATCAACTGGTGGAAAAAGTCAACTATACACTAAAAAGTCAAACTTTGACTTTTTTGACCAAAATTGAGTCCCAAAAATCACATTTCATCAAGACATCCAAAATATGAAATTTAATCGTCAAAAATCAAGAAATTCAAAAATCCAACTTTGCAAAACTTGGAAATTTTTCTAAGTATTTTCTATACTTGTTAATTTCATTACTTCATGACATCTTTTCACTACAATTCAAAATAATTCAAGATGTCACAAATAATTCAAAATATTACAAATAATTCAAGTTATTACAAAGTGGCATTTTTGCAAGATTACAAATCTTAGGTTTGGTCTTGTTTGAACTCTATCCCTTTGACTCAAAGTGGCATTAGATTTCATTGTGTATTTAAACAACTTTGTAACTAATTTTTCAAAAATGCAGTAATAGAGTTTCTCTCTTCAAAAGTTAGTTACAACCGTTTTTCTCCTTCAACCTTGATCTGACCTGATCAGAAGGTTTGGACCGTCACGGCTTACTCCGAGCTGAAGGCTTTTTGAACGAGGAGGGGGGGTACCTGCAAGGCACTCCGATGCTAAAGTCAGTGGGAGTACTAGCAGATAATAGAGTTGAGGTTAGAATGATGAATACCTGACCCTCTGGAAGCAGAGGGTATTTATAGCCCCCAGCGCTGGGCCAAGGTCCCTTCATTGGGCCGGGCGGATTTGGCCCAATGGAGGAACTGCCAGGTTCTACGTGGGTAGTGGGGACCAGCACGTGGTCCCCTTCCTGGATATGCTGCATGAAGTGCGGGCGGACGGAGACGCGGTCTTTCCGGAGTATCGTTGGGGCAATGGAGGATTAAGTCTGCCCTAGCAAGTCAGCTCGAGACCATGTCGAGCTGCGCAGCACGGGGCCGAGCTCGACGCCAAGACCTCGAGCTGGACAGCGAGTGTCGAGCTGGAAGCCAGGACATAGAGCTGGACGGCAGGCTGTCGAGCATAACTTCATCGTGGGGCTGGACACCGAGACGTCGAGGTGGACATCATGGTGTCGAGCATGGACGTGACCCCCTTTGCCCAGTGTGGTCCTTAGTGAGTCCCTTTGGACTGGGCCTTAGTAATGCTTTTGGGCCTGTCGGGCCCAGTCCAGAACAGGAGCCCCCCAAGTCGTGGTTCCTTTGCGAGGAGCCATGACTTGAAACAGTTGTTCCGTCGCTGAGGTCTCGTGCCCGGGATGGAGGCGTGGACCCTCGAGGGGTCTCCTCGTGCCGTGCTCGGAGACGTCCTCGGTGGTGGATGCGTGGAGGATCCGTACCGGGCGCGTCAGTCGAGCACACGAGGCATCTTTCGGGAGTTGTGCCGCCACCCTAGGGGGGTAGGGCCATCATTGCGTTGGGAGCAGTGCGTCGAGGAGATGGAGTCCGTGGCTGAACGAGGTGACGTTTGGTATTCCACGTCATCACTATAAATAAGGTCCTTGGGCCCCATAATACGTTTTCCGTTCTCCGTGCTCTCTCCGTTGCAACTCTCAACACTCTCTCCAGTCGTGACTTCCCGTCTCAGATTCTTCATTTCTTAGCCAAATCCCAACTTTGATCCAAGTAAGTGATCTATTTTCTTTATTTTCCCGTTTTAGAATGCATGATTCTTGGAAATTGTAGATGTTTTAGGACCGTTAATGTTGGGTTAGCCCGGTAAAC